TCGCAGTTGAAAACCTTGACCTTGTTACCTTGAAAGAAAACGAATTGGATGACACTCTGAACCCCCTTAATTTGGAAACCATGTTCATTCCCATTGCATCCCCTCAGCGGCTGCTAAAATTTTTTTTTTTATTTATTTAGATATTTACCAGCAACAGAGCATTGAGCACTTTGGGTCTATAAAGTCTCCTTGACCTCGTAACCATTAGAAGATGCATCACCTCACAAATGAAAGTAGAGTTAAAAAGAAGACATTAATTTTTAATTATTACCTATCAAAATCAAGGTCCATGACTCCAAGGTTTCCAAATTTGAAGTGAAAGCTCTCTTGAGATGACTAGAAGGGCTACGGTCATTCCCATCCCTCGAAATCATGGTGTTGGCTGGCTCCACCTGATTTGTAGATGTGGCCTTGCAGCCTCGATCAATTAGTTGGTGTTGGCAACCAGACAACCCTTTCAATCAACAAAATGTACTTTTTAGTGTTGGCAACAAAGAAAAGAAAAAAAAAAGCCAAAAAAAAAAAAAATCAGAGATCTTCAGAAGTCATAAGACTACAATTTTTACTTTCACTCATTAGAAGTTATTAACGATATGCTTAGATATAACTCTATACACATTTTTTTTGGTATAAAAGGAATAAAAGAAAGAAAGAAATGACACATGACAAAATGGCAACATCTTTATTTTTTTTACTATGTAATTTAGAAAATCGTATATCTCCTTTTCATGTTTGCCGATCGAGATTGAGAAATATTTACCTTCTTGGAGAAGTAGGTTCATTTCCTGTCTTTTTGCATTGCCATAAACAACAATCAAATGTAGCAATATGCACGTAAGAACTTTGTAATCCACAACCATTTTAACACCACTAAGAGAAGAGTTGAACTCTTTGCATTTTTTTCATCCTACAAATCTTGTCCATGTCCATACTTTGGCCGAAAATTGTGTTTATATAGGCACTGAAAAATAAGTATTGCATCTTCTCACACTATTAAGAAGATTTTCTTTAAATAACTTACAATGTATGGAGATTTTTACAATAAAACTTACGATTAAAGAAAATTATTTTCCATTTGCCCAGGCCATTTCTTGTTGCCGATGACCCATCTGAATTGCCACGAACAACAGTCAAACGTAACATCGAGTACACATAAATTCTCTTATGATCAATGGCCACTTCAAGAAATTTGTTAAGCAAGAATTGAAGTTTACATCTTTTTATCCAGCTCAAAATGTTGTCAATGTAGAGAGTATTGGCTAGAAATCATGTTTTATAGGCGTTGAGAATATACAGATATAGTCACAAGATCTGAGAAGATTTTCGCAAGATCACTTACCAAAAATGATGATTTTTTTTCAAGATAACTTACCAAACACGGCATTTCCATTAATGCATCCCCTATGCAAACTAAAAATCTTATATGCAGATTTTTACCAGCAGCAAAGCATTCAACAGTTTGGGCCTTGAAAATCTACTTGACCTTAACAATGGCAACCAACGGAACATACATCACCTCACAAATGGCCTCCAAGTGTTTATTATACATGTATAATACAAGAAACAGACTAATGTTTATTATACATATATTCTTCAATGAGTTTAGCCAGAACAATTTTGGGTCCGCTTTCAGAAATCTTTGTACTTTAGAGTGAGTATCGGATGAAATATTTCGATTTCTTTATAACCATTTGACTTTTCTCTTTTAATACAGAAACGAAATTCCACCAAAAAAAAATTATATATCCAATATATCAAGAGTCCAATTAGAATCAATTTCAAAATCAAAATCTCTTATTTATTTTATCTATTCTCTTTTTAAACATTATTAGTCTTATTTTTATTCTCTTAATTTTAATTCAAAATTAATAAAAGAAATATACTTTACATAGCATATATTCTAACAAATGGCTTCTAAGAAGAAGACTGAAATTGTTAAAATCCCACCTGGTCCATTGGTGTTTTTAACATGGTGAAATTCTGGGCCGATTGAATCCTATGTGCTTAGTAGCAACATTTTTTTTTTTTTGTATTGCTCTTTCATGATAGATTTTACTACTGAAATCAGTCATAAAAAGAATGGGATCCAAGCACAAGGATCACACTACAACAAGACCATGCATTTGAGACACCAGCACCTCTACAACCAGTCGACAAACAAGTCATTTCGATTCATCCCATTCTTGCCATTCAATCAGCAAAATGATTTGCTTCCCGGTAAGAGTAGAAGAAACATTTCATTGAAGGTAGTACCATCTCTCCAAGGCCTTGTATCATTGAAAGTAACCCAATCCTCTGTGCTTAGCGGAGACAATCGCGGGTCAGCTTTCAAAACATTTGGACATGGTCTTCTATAGCATCCGGACAGCATTTCAACACATGCCTGATAATTATGGTTCCATCAACACGGTACATGCGTTAGATGAAAAAAAAAAAATTGATACAAAGAAAGGAGAAAATTAATGTTTATTACATACGAAAATTTAGTAATTTGATAGATATTTTCCAAATTAAACAAATGATATACGAATGACGTTCAGCTTCTACATTTAAAAAAGTTTCATTTGGATGATCGGTAGATCAGCCCAAAACGACGTGATAATAATTTGGTAAATCATTTTCCAAATTAAACAAATATATATGGGATTTTTTAAAATAATTCATGGCAGATTTCAAATATGCTATAGTTAAGTCAAATAAGTCACTAACGCTAGCACTGAATAAAAGTAACAAAGGAAATGGCATATGAAGGAATAGAAGATCTCTATTTTTTTTCTTTCAATAATGAAATTTTCAAAATGGAAGATTTCTTTTTCTTTTTGTTTTATGTTGGCCGAAGAAATATTACCTTAGCTTTGAAGCTGATTCATTTTTGCTTTCATTGAATTGCCATGAACAACAATCAAATGCAGCAATGTGCATATGAGAATTCTTATCATCCCACAACCATTTTAAGATCACCAAGAAGAAAAGTTTTAACTCTAGCATCTTCTCACCTACAAAATTTGTTCATATCCATATTATGGCCGGAAAATGTGTTTATATAGGCATTGAGAAATAAATATTACTAGATATTCTCACTATTTTAAGAAGATTTTTTTTTAATAACTTATGATATATGATGATTTTTGTCAGATAACTTACGAAATATAACAATTTGATAAATATGGTGATAATTTTAAAAGATTTTATCAGATAACTTACAAAATATATCGATTATGTCTTTTTATGCATTTTATTGTATGGGTAAAGATCCACTTAAGTTTTACATTATTTTTTATCTTTGAATCAAAATTAAATCCATGACTAATTTAGATCAAAATAATATTTTTAATCATAGCTTTTTATTTATCTAAAAGTTTAAAAAAAAAGTGTAAAATTTACGCTGATGTAAGTGAATTCTTCCTATTTTTAAAAAATATATAAAGAAATTTTCTAGCTAAATGAAAATTCTTTAGGATATTATTTAGAATAATTTTTCTTTTAACAAAAGAGGTCACAATTTGAAAATAGAAAATGAGATTGTAAATAATGAAATTTGAATCCCAAACCTATTAAGTGTTATTTCTCAAATAACTGTATGAACTAAATGAATTAAATTTTTAAATTTTTATTTTTGACCAATTTGCCTAATCCTATTACATTTCTTTGTGGCTATATTCATCAAGTACAAATTTTTTCCAAGTATTTTGTGATGTGAAAATTTGTAATATTCACGGAAAAAATTCATAGAAATAAAGCCTTATTGTAAGTTTGTTTACATTTTAAGGTTTACAGTCAAACAAAAGTGAAAGGAGCATTATACTCTAAAATAGGACTGTTCAAGATTCAATTTTAATTGAATTAACTTATCAAATCAATTTAATTTAGTTAATTGATAGGTTATTGAATTAATTTTGATCAATTATTAAAAAAAATTTTAGAGAAATTTCGACTTTCAATTAATTTAATTCGAGAATCAAATTATTCAAAATTTTAATCGAAATATAATAAAACATACATATATAATTTTTAATATATGAAATTACCCATTTCATTTAAAATTATTAAAATTTTTAATTTAATACCTTTATATTTGAATATTTTTGTCTAATAATTTTATTTTATTTATTTTAAATATAACAAATTTAAAATTTAAAATAAAATTTAATTTAATATATTTTATTATTTAGTTAATTAAAAAATTAATTAAATTAATTAATTTGATAGATTAATTTTTAAAATAAAACAATTTAATTCAACTAAGAAAAATAATATAGTTTAATTTAATTATTTTGATTTTAAATAATTCAATTTGAAATTAACCAAATCAAACAAATAAGATACTATTTGATAGAGGAAAAGGGGAAATTTTGGAACTAAAGAATGATTTCTCCACAAACTCAAATAGAAGAAAAACTAATTAAAGATTGCTAGTCCTTTTCCCGCAAAACCCTTCCCTGCATCAGGGTTTCCCCCCAAAAGGGATGGAAATGCAAACATAAAAAATCAAGCAAAAGAACATTTCACCTTTCCTTTCCCTTTTCAACCCATCCAAACAAAAATGAAAGTTTCAATTTCCTGTTTTCCAACAATTTCTCTACCTACCAACCATTATAGCTCATAGTTAGAAAAAGCATTAAGATCCTAGTTAGCGTCCAATCTACAACTAATGCGTGATCTTACTTTCATGAACCAGATCTTGGAATCGTATCACGAGCTATGTTATCTACTGATTAAATGTAAAACTCTTAATTTCAGAGAACAAAATTCAAGTCTTGACAACTTTAAGCTTCAAATATAAAAGAAAAAAACTCTGATCAGATTAAAGCTTTCAACTCAATAGGATTTCAAAGAAACTATAAATCTATGATCATATGACAAATCTACTAAACCCTAAAATGATTTCACAACAAAGCATGCTTGATTTAAACTTAGAAGTTAAGTCTCCTCTACACATGGTGAAGAGGGCAATAATGTCATTACTCTTTTAATGCCGATAACAGTCAACACTCACTGAATGATAGAATTAACTTCTTATTAGATTAACAGCAAAAATGTAATTAGTATGCAATAAAGATGTAAAATAACAGTTCATCAAAATGGCACTAGTTCCCTAACAAAAAGAAACAAGCCTATCATCCATCAAAGACAGATTTATAATTCATTTTCCCCTCAACTAGTTGTTGGTGGCTCTGGTGTATATTTGCTGGCTAGCATGAGCAGAAATCATCCTGATGGAACCTCTAGACATCAAATCTTTGATTGCCCTACGTGCCAATGATCCATTGATCTGACAATCATGGAGAATAAGTAAGAAAACCACATTAGGATTAAGAGGCCAAAATTAATAAAAGAATACTTCCACAATCAGAAGAGGATTAAGGAACTCCACTAAGAGTTAAAATACAAGGAATGCTACATACTTATAGGAAAATGGGTTCAGAAAAGGAGAAGAGCAATCATAATTGTCAAAGTAGCAACATACTCTTTTTTTTAGTATTTGAGGCTGCTAGGGGTTGAACCCTGATCACTAGAACTAAATGTCTAACACCGGAACCCTGATCATTAGAACTCACCAGCACTCTAACAAGAGACCTCACAGGCTGTTAGCAATACATACATACTCTTGTCCTATATAATTATGGTTTAAAATACAAAAAACAAGACGCAAGGTTAACAGAAATGAGAAATAAATTTCACTTGTGTTTGAAGGCAGCCATTTTCTGTCAAACACTTCAAGTTATCCAAAACAATTATCCTGTTAAAGTCAGAAGAAAATTTTGAAACAGATGACAAACTGTAAGAAAGCAATCAACATATACCATGGAAAATGGTTCTGACAAGAAAACATAAACCTCAGACGTTTCTCATATTATACCAGTACACTTCCATTTCAAAATCCATGCATCAAAATATAAGTTTAATTAGGGACTAAAATCATTAAACATTCTTCACAGCTTAAACAATGGGATATTATACAATTTCATCAGTCTAGATTCTGATACTCTAAAATAAAATAATATCAAAATAATCCCAAATAAAATGCGAAAAAAGAATTGAAGCAAGCTGTGACATACTCTCAATCTGTCAGAAAGGATTGAAGGAGTAACAAGCTTGTACTTTGGAACCTCAGAAAGAAGTTTTTCATAAGTTGCCTGATCAAATAAAACCATGTTGTTCACCTTCTCCTTTTGCTTACCCTTGCTCCATTTCTGCCATAAAACCATTCAGAAAAGCTCATCTCGGATATATAAGACTAATCAAATAAACACATCTTTAACCAAATTCCTATAAAATCTACATTTTTAACACTCAACCGAATTAAAAACCCCACCTTCTTCTTCTGCTTCCCTCCACCAGACTTGGCAGGCTTTGAGGACGGAGGTGGTGCCTTTTCCTTCTTCGGTGCCTGCCAAAATCAAAACAAGCAAACAAAACAAACAAATATTCAGCATATGCTTTACTGGGTCAATGAGAAAATGTAAGAAAAACGAAAAAAAAGCAAATGGGTATAAGAAAAAACCATTTTTTAGTGAAGAAAACAATAATGAAACAAGAAGCACTCTCAGACTTTTCCTCCTTTCTCTTATTTTCTTTTGCTTTTACTACATTTTCTTCAAAGAAAGAGAAATGGAAGCAAAGAAGAAGTTAAAAGGATAAAGCTTACCATTTGGATTCAATGGAGAAGCAGCGATACTGGGAGGGCAAAGAAGCACGGCAGCCGCTAGGGTTATGAGGAATGAATACAAAGATATGGAATGGTTAATAGGCTGTGTGAGCCCAAAAAGGTCAAATGGCTGAGGCCCCAAAATGGTTCAAAGCAAGTTGGGTTTTGAAGGGCTAAGCCTATAGAATCCAAGTTCGCCCTATTCTTGATTCTTTGGGTTGAAATTTGCTTTTGTTAAGGCAATGAAAACTATCTAACCAGACCAATGACATAAACATCTCTAAACATTATTAGGTCCCCTCTCTCCAAAACAAAAAAAAAAAAAAAAAAATGGTAATAGCCTTAATAGTATTGATTTGTTATTATTTATTTAATATGATACATGAAGTCATTCGGTATTTTTTAAATAGACACTTTAGCTATTAGAATTTAAGACTCAAAGTCGAGAATATAAATTCAAATCCTAAAACTGAGTAAAAGGAGATTTATATTGTATAACTTAAAATCACTTGTCTATTAAAAAAAAGAAAAAGGTGAATTGGTAGAAAAAAATTGATGTTGGTGCGTTTGCTAGTTGTTTGTTCTATATCAAGGAAGGCAAACGAACCATATAGGCACAATTTTTATTAAGTGGATTCGTTTCTTCAGTAAGATACAGGATCCAATGGCAGTGATAGGCCACGGCAAAATCATATGGACCAAAAGCATGGCCTTGTATGAAATTAAAAGTTCTTGCTTCTTTCATTAACAAACCGGATTTGGATCAAGACGCTATCAAAGTAATAGTCATTTGAAAGTGAAGGAGGCTTCCTATCAATTGGTGGGTATTTTTCTTCTTTTCCAACACATCTATTCGTAACATTTGTTGATTATACAGGGTTAGCGCTATGTGAAAATATCTCGTCTTATGCCTCGTTTGGATGCGTAGGAGTATAGAAAACAACTAAGTCTTTAAGGGTCCAATCAATGAAACAACACTCATAATACGATGAAAGTCTCTCTAAACATCTAAAAAGGGCTTTCAACAAGCTAAGGAAATAAAGGAAACTGTTGGGAGTGATATTAGGAAATCAATGGCAAAAAGTGTTCAAAAAGTGCGGCTCACTTGATCCTGAAACTCTGAGCTTTCGACCAAAAAGCTTCAAGTCATTATTAACATGGGAACAAGTTCCTACTAAGATGGCTTAATATATCTTCCACTAAGTAAATTATAGGTTAAAAGCATAGGAGTTGGTGCAATTTTATTTCCATGCAAAGTGTTATAATTTTGCCTCACAATAGTCGTAGAAAGTAAACTTTACATTTTAATGTAAGTCCAAAATCATGAATTCTTCATATTGAAAAATTCATACAAATTGGTTACTTAATTTTTTAGGTACGTGATATGTTATTAAAATTGTATATTTAAAAATTTAAAATTTAATTCAATTGATTTATATAATTATTTTTAAAAAATAATATCTAATAATTTTAAATTTTAAATTTTAATATTTACAATTACTTATTTTATCTATTTTTTTTGTAAATATATATATCAACAAAATTTATCAATCCATAAATAAAATATTGCATTTACTTATTCAGAATTTAATACACAGGTGGGATACACATTCTTGAAAAGCATATATTAACTTTTCCTTTACTAAATATTACATATATGTGAAAGTACATTAAATTAGTAAGATAAACTATATCTTTACAAATTTTCCTTTGATGTAGATAAACTTGTATCCAAGATAAAGCTCATGGGAGATGAGGAAAAGGAAAAGAAAGGCATAAAGTAACAATCAATCAAATTAAGCTCTTCCTACCTTTCTATAATATAAATGCTTTGTAGAAAGAGACAACAATACAACGTGTGAAATGTAATTAAAAAGCAATGTTGGGTTTGTTGGATTTTCTTGCTTAACAAACACTGTCTCATGCTTTTCCCTTTTTTTTCTTTTCGTAGTTCCCTTTTTCACCCAAATGGACTGCTATAAGCCATAAGGGGCCCAAAAGTAAGAGTTTGGTAGAGATACGATTGGACCGTAGTTCACCAACTGCAGCTAAATAAATTTTATAGTAAAAAGAGGATGCCCTTTTTTCAATTATTTTTCTTTTTCTTTTTTTTATATAGTTATTGGATTATTTTGAGCATCTTACATGTCAAGTTTCCCAACAAAGTTTCTAATTTTTTAAAGCAATTTCAATAAGAAAAAATTTGATAATTTAAGAATAATTGTATGAAACAATTGAATTAAATTTAAATTTAAAAGAATAACTTAGTTGATAATTTGATATTATTGTTTAATTAATTACTAATAATAGTAATAATAATAATAATTCTTTTAACTAATTAGTAATCCTCTTGAAATAGGTTTTGGCTAGGTCCTCTCCACCTTATTTTGAAAGATTGAGTTTTAGCATTAAAGCAAAGAAAGGGATGCCATCATCAATTATATACTAATCGAGGATATCATGTAACCATAAAATTAGGGCGTAATTTGTTACGCCTCAAAGAGAAATTATGTGGGTGCCAAGCACGCCCAAAGTCATCATTAATTAAGGCAATAGCTTTTGCTATTTATCCACTCCTCTCCCACCTTTACCTTCACTTGCTTTTTTTTTTTTGGGTTATTTCTAAAATAAAATACGTAATTAAAATTTTTAAAATTTAATTTAAGTAATTAATGTAATTATTATTAAGAAGTAATATCTGGTAGTTTGAATTCATATTTTAATATTTATAATTTTTTTTTAATTTTAGACTATGACGTCATTTGAAGAAAAAAAACCGTAATTGAGAATGTATTTAATTTAAAATGTATAGTCCAATGAAGATCGATATCAAAATATAGATGCCAACTGTCTACCAAATAATATTAAAAAAAAAAACTTACATGTATAAAATAAACCAAATCATAATCCGTACAACACATTTAGACCTAAGAACAATTTAAGTTTTTCATTAGCATAAATTAAATCCCATAATATTTTTCTATCTATTAAATGCATAGATAAGATGTAAAAAATGAGCAACTATGCTTCTCAATATGACATCATGAAATTCGTATTATTACAAAATTACATTCATAATCTTTCCTTTTTTTTTTTTTCACAAATAAATATAAGTAGTGTTCAAGAAAAAACAATTATTTTGATATATTTTTAACAAATGTATCCTACAATTATCGGTGAATTATAATTTTTTTTTGTTTATGACCCACTGATAAAATATTAAAATTTTAATTTTAATTTTTAAAATTTAATTATTGACCGTCTCAAATATAAAAAAAAAAGTATTATTGATGAACTAAATTTTGAGCTATTTTCATATACAATAAAGTTTTTTATTTGTATCAAAAAATAATAATAATCCCATTGAACTCGTAATTATTTGCATCGATGGTAGTAACTAGGGACGGCAATGAAGCCTGTCCCCGACGGATTTCGGTCCGACCCGATCCTATAAGATTGGGTTTTTTTTTTAAATTTCGAGTTTCGGATCAAATAAAATTAGGTAACAATCGGGATCGGGTCGGGTTCAGGTATGCCTAAAACTCGATCCTATCCGACCTGACATTATTAAAAAATTATTTTTTAATTAATTAATTATATATATTTATATAATAATATTTTTAAATATTTATATTTAAAAAATAATATTTTATATTTTAAAAAATAATATTTTATTAATTTCGAGTAGGATCGAGTTCGGAACGAACAAAACCCACCCCGAATCTGACCTGATGCCATCCCTAGTAGTAACATATAAGACACAGGCGAGCATATTGGAAACTACAATTGAGTTTGGCCTTTGAGGGATTTACGGTGAAGTTTCCTATAACAAGTAAAGATTCCATAATTTGGATTTTAATTCAAATTGAAGGTGTAATTATGCTACTCAGGGATAAAATTGAGCTGTATATATCTCTGATTCGATCATTTTTAAATAAATGTTGCATGTGACTTGGAGTAGAAAAAAATACCTTTCAAGGATCTAAAATCATCTTCAACTACCTATACTTTTTATTTTTGGGATTACTTGAATTAATAGTTTTTGTCAACATCGATTGGTGAATGTCAATATCCCTTAGTTAGGAAAAAGTTCTTTCTTGATCTTGGTGGCTAGATGCACATGTCATCTCTCTGAATTCTCGGGTTCAAGGGCTATAAAATAAAAAGATTTTGAAGCATACACAACATAAAGAAAATGAGTTGAAATCATTGGGAATCACCTTGAATGATTGATGATTGAAATTGTAAGCCACCATGAAGTTAAAATGGAAAATAATTAGATGATACTATTGGTTTGTAAAATCACCGTCAGCTGATTCTAACAAGCATTTTGGAAAAAGACTTTTCAACTCAAAACCACTTGTTTTTTGGGTTATTTTCTCAACCAGAAAAAATTAAAAATGATGTTACATAATAGGAAAAATAAACATAAATTTATTTTTTTTATATTCGTGATATATTCTTTTAACCAATGAATTTAAAATATTATCCTTAATAATATTTTAAATTTAATAAATGAATAAACATTGAATTATTTATGAATTTTTATCAAATATTTTATTCATTTACATCTTGATTATAAATAAATTAAATATGAATAAATTTTATTATATTTAAAATTTTTTTATTTAAGTAATGAATTATAAAATATTATTCATTATTGTTTATTTAATTTAATAAATAAATATAAATAAATAAAAATTAAATTTGTTTAAAAATTGTTTTTATCGTTCAATTTGTTTACACGCTAAAAACAAAAACTTTCATTCAATTTTACTGCCTAGTTTCCCCTTCAAAAGAAAAAATTTATACTGTATAATTGAGACATCAAAATCAGATTGATTTTAAAGAATTTCATGGAATTTCTTTCCCCAGCAATGCCATCCATCTCAAAAGCCAATAAATCAGCTTCAATTCCATCTCCCTATACGGCTACAACCCCACCATAATTCAGGTAGCCATTAACATTTTCTTTATAGAAAAGGCTTTTTCTCTTTCTCTTCTACCTCAAGCTGCCACATTTTTATAACCATTAATAATTACTCTCTTCATTTCCCACCAAATTTTGCTTCTTCAACGCTCCAAAATCCCATAAACCAAAAACACCCAAAAGAAAATTAATACTAATTTTATATTTTATTTGTGAATTTAGTTAATGATTCTCACGTCCCACATTCTTTGAAAACACCCTTTTCCTTCAATCCAACTCTAACTGCTCTCCCTTCCAAATCTGATTCTAAAAGACAGTTTTTTTTTTTTTTTTCAATTTTCCTTAATCTTTTTTTTTTGGGTTTTATTGAGAAATAAAAATAATTTTTTGGGGGTTTTTATATTCGAGAAAAACGTTACTGTCATTGCCAGCCATGACCGAGGTCCTTCATTTCCCTTCACCTCCAGGCACTAATACTTCGTCTTCTTCTTCTTCTTCTTCTGAAGAACCGGCCTTATCCTGTGCACCCCAGACATCCTTAACCTGCGCACAAAGTGATAGAGATGACTTTGTTAATGTAACAGGCTGTGACCCAGAAGAGGAGGAAGTGAAGGAAAGAGAGAAACAGGACAGAGATCAGCTGTCTTTGTTGGCTTTGCTTGTGACCCTTTTCAGGAAATCTTTGGCTGCTTGTAAGAGTACTGATAGAAGGGAGCTTTGTGCTATGGAGATCGGGTGGCCAACCAATGTCAGACATGTGGCACATGTTACCTTTGATAGGTTCAATGGCTTCTTGGGTTTGCCTGTTGAGTTTGAGCCTGAAGTTCCCAGGAGAGCTCCTAGTGCAAGGTTTCTGCTTTTCCCATTTTCTTTACCAAAGTTCCCTTTTTCTTTTTTTTGTGGCTGTTTCTTTTTGTTGAAATGTGAATGTGTGTTTTTGTGGGGTTTTTTTTTAGTCTTTTCTTGCTCTTACTTTTCCGGTCTATTGGCTTTGACGGTTGTTGGATGGTGGGTTTTCTGGTTTTTTTTTTTTTTTTTTTGTGATGATTGTATTGGTGTATATGGAGTTGCTGGGGCTCAGTATTGGTGAATGCCAATAGCTGAAACTTGGTTAATTTCAATAGGTGATTATGTTTTTTTTTTTTTTTAAATTGACGTTCTGTTACTTTCTCCAAATTTTGAAATGAGAAATTATTGGAAGTGTGAAATTTGTGTTTTCAACTAGGACATTGGCGTTTTGTGATTTCTTTTGTTGACTCGGTGATGTTTTATGACATGCAATTCTTATAAAGTTAGATTTTCCAATGATTAAGTTGTTGAACCCCATCCACTTTCTCCAAAAATCTGGTCGGTTTGTCAGATTCATGAAATTCTCAACTTTTTTTATTTAATTGTTGACAATTAGGATGTTGTATTGGCTTATCAAGTTCTTAGAACTGCCATATGTAATTGCATGTATTTGGAAGGAGACACGGTTATATGAGAGGTTGAATATTCTTGCTCGAGTCTTATAACAATGTTATAATCCCATTTGTTGAACACTATTTGCTTAATTGGCTTGATCTGTTTGACCAAATACAGAAGTCCTTGGAAGACAAGTATTGAAACTAGGGATGGTCCTTTTTTAATCATTTTCATGTGGTATATTTTACCAATCAACTACATGTGGTTGAGAATCATAAAATTTACTACTGCTTTAAGGTATATTTACAAATGGCTTGACTAGGAATGTTCGTTCGGAGGATCTGTGAGTATTTGAAGCAGTTTTTTTAATTTCTCCCTGAAAGTTAACTACTTTTAGAAGATTCTGTTTCAATTCTTCTAATTTCTTGTACAACAGAGCCTGTTTATTTGCTTATCAAGTGCAGTTGCTCTCCAAACACACCATATTTTCTGATCAGTACCAAAAACTAAAATTTTTGAAATGCCTTTAAGTTGAGGTCCATTGCTAAGTCAAGTGACTAAATGAGGCATGCCAAAATGCTGGGTAGAAATATTTTTCCAATTTCCATGGTTGGGTCAACTAGTAGCTTATCTTGCTTTGTCATTGTGTTTCAGACATTGCTGGTAAAAGTCACCCATTTCTGAGAGTTCTGTATGATTCTTCTTGTATTTTTTTCTCCTCGATGTCTTCCCTCAAGGATCATCATTGGGGGAATAGGTATCAGTGTTGAGTGTGAGTTTAGAATTGATTGTATGATGCAGGAATAGGATTAGAGGTGCCAGTCTCATTGTCTTGTTATCTGGGAAAGTGCTGTTTTTGACATATACAGTTGATGTGTTCTGCTTCCACTTTGGCTTTTCTTGCAAATGATAAAACATCTGCATTCCTTTGGGATGGTGAATCTCTAAGCTGGGTATGGTTTTCACAAAATTTGAGTCTGATGTGGAGTTCATGGTGGGAGGTAAAAATGTGTAGCATGCTTTCTTAGAACAATCATCTTCATGAGCTAATACAATTGGGCAGTTAGTTTATTATTCAGGATTGCTGCAGAACTTAATTGAATGTGATGATGTGGAATGCCAATTTGTCTTGGTTGTGGAGTTTATGTCATGGCGTGGTGGAGAGCCTTTTTCAAGAATGAAAGTAGTTCAATTAGGCTACTTACTGATCGCAAAATTTCAGTTTGAGACTTCTTTTCTCATTCTACCTCTTCCACATCTATTATTGACAAGAGTCCTCATGCTACTAATGTTTTGTTTATCCCTTCAGAAAAGGAAACAAGTTAAGAGGATAAAAGATTTCTGGGGCATCCCTGTTTTATTTTTAAACAGAAATAGTATTAGCTCCGTCTTTTTTACCCTCTCTGTGGCTTATATGTTTAAGATCAGAATTTATAAGGATTGAAGAAAACAAGTCTCCATAAAAGGTCAAAGTGTTTGACGCAGCTTCTCTAGGGTTCAGAATTTTTTCGATGCAGCATGGAAAATACTTGAAAGTTCGAGTTGGATTTGCTGTGCAGATGCAAATACATATACATACATGCAAAATGTTGAAATACTTGATTTTGATTGTTTCAAATTGGCAATGGTACTGTTTAGTCTTCTTAATTTCAATCAGAGTCAGCAACTCCTCCAAAAAAAAAAAAAAAATTCCTTGCATGTAATTTGTAGGAAACTCATGGCCTGTATAGAACCCTGACACCTGAAAGCAGTCTCTCTTGATCAACACTTGACATCATAATTTTTTTTTGGTAGTGCAACTGTCTTTGGAGTTTCCACAGAATCCATGCAGTTGTCCTATGACTCCAGGGGGAACAGTGTGCCCACAATACTTTTGCTAATGCAAAGACGTTTGTATGCTCAAGGAGGCTTGCAGGTATTCTTTCTTTATTCATCCTTCCTCTTCAATATGCTATAGCTCCAAATAGTGGAGAATTTAGATTTTTTTTTTTTTTTTTTTTGCATTTCCTCTTATCTATCTGATTAGGGCCAATTTTCTACACATTTCTGGTTTTGTTGAAGTTATTTGGAATTTTTTAAGGTTTGTAAGTTTTGTGCCCTGAGTTCAGCTTACTGTTGACTTCACACATGCAGGCAGAAGGGATTTTTAGAATTAATGCTGAAAACAGTCAGGAGGAGTATGTTAGAGAACAATTGAATGGTGGAGTGGTTCCAGAAGGGATTGACGTACACTGTTTGGCAGGACTAATCAAGGTATAGCAATGTCATTTAATCTCACTTTGTCATTCCTTTACCTGTATCTGAAGTTGTATTGGGTTATAGAGTTGAATGAAGAAATGAACTTACTGCAGATGATCTTAAAATTTCTCTGTTAGTTTTAGCTTGTATAATAATATTTCTCTCACCAGTTGCTCACCTGGTTGAAAATTGGGTGATTGATGGTGATAATTGTGTAGGTGACTTATGGTCAGAGTGGTGAATTACTTAAGATGACAATCATGCAAAACAGTTACATTCTAATCAACATACTTTATATTGGTCAACCTTCTGGTGTGTTTGACAAGGTGCATCTGAGTTACCACCTAACCAATATAACATAATTTGGAAAGTAAGGTAAGGTAAGAAAAAAGGGAAAAAGAATAGAAAAAGATATTTCTTCTTATGGGGCTTTGCTTAAGTTGTGGCTGTATGCTCTAACCCATCAATTTTTCAAGTAATATTTTGCTTTCAGACTCCATGATTTTGTAAAAGAAAACTTTAATTAATATGTGTTAAAGTTAAACATGGATTTGACGCATCTTTGAGTCCTGTGTTTAACAATTCCTCATCCCATAATGCATAATTTTTTTTATGGGGAAGCAAATATGCTCTTTGTTAATTTGAGTTACAAACTAAAAACATTTTTTAACTTATTCTGCATTTTTGTAGCCATAAATTCATATTATTTTCTTTTTGGAACATTTGGAGGTCCCCTTGGCCTTAGGGTGCACAATTGGGAATAGCTCTTCCCGTCTCTTAAGCATCACCTTGCACAATTGGGAATAACTCTCCCCGTCCCTTAAGCATCACCACCCTTGGGGAGGATTTGAAAGTAACCGATCAACAACCAACTGAAGTCCTTGTTTCTGGTTGGACAATTGTTATCTGTAATCCTGTTGGTCCTTTTTCCCGTTTCCCCCCTTGGAGGGGGAAATGACGGCCATTGCTATCACATATGAAGAAACTGTAATTGAGTGGGAGGGGTGAAAAGTTTATACAGATAAGGTTATGACTCAGCGAGCCTTTTCATCTTGTTGGTCTCCAGTCTCAACAATCTAAGTCAAAAAATTATCCTTTCAGCTGCGGTTGCTTCAGCCAGAAAGTTCCCTATTCACTGTGAATTTCACTGTTGATATTCAAAAGGATGATTCTGGCAAGCTTGCATTTGCCGCCGGAGAAATAATTTTCAACCATTATAGGAAATTTTTTTTTCTGAGAGATCTAACTCATTGTCCTTATTTATACATGATGGATACAGTTGAGTGGTGGTCAAGCACATGTCTTGGGCTCTGGAACACAGTTTTCTTAGATATTGCTTCTCATTCTTTAATGTATAAACATGCATCTTGTGCTTATGCATATCCACATACGTCTGGGGGAAAATGAATTTAACCATATCTTCTTTTAAATTTACCAGTTTTTTTTAATCAAATCCTAATATACTAATTTAATGTTTGTTATTCTTAGGCTTGGTTCAGAGAACTTCCGAGTGGAGTTTTGGATTCTTTATCTCCTGAGCAAGTAATGCGATGCCAGACAGAAGAACAGTGTGCTGAGCTTGCAAGACTTCTACCTCCAACCGAATCTGCTCTACTGGATTGGGCCATCAATCTCATGGCTGATGTTGTCCAGCAAGAACATCTAAACAAGATGAACGCACGCAATATTGCTATGGTTTTTGCACCAAACATGACTCAGGTGAGTTTCTAGGAATTTCACATATCTATTGACCAGAACATACGCCACTCACTTTTAAAACAGAAAAAACGAGGTGTTAAACAAATTTATTCCTAAATCACATTTTCTTGAGGATCTAATTTACATTTGAATAAGTTTGTGTCTACATTGGGTACTGAAAACAAGTACTTCATTAGTAAATCATTCATTTTCCTTCATTATGATTTGTGGTCCCAATCCCATCTTACACACTGATCATCAGGTAATTTTGTAATGAATGGATAAATTTCCAACAGAATCCCGTCTCGCCCTCCTATGTTTCTGAGTTCATTGATAGCCCTTTCACATTTCTTTGTCATCTCCTCCACTTCGTTCTTTTCTTACCACTGAGAAGTCACTCAGAAGGATTATTAAGCATCTTTCCCGCATCATCTATTCAAACATTTGAGAAAAATTTTATGGCAAGGCAGATCGCGTATTGGGTTGATTGTTGGTTCAATGACTGTCTTTATGGCTTATTTTGGCTGCAGATGGCAGATCCTTTGACTGCATTGATGTATGCAGTCCAAGTGATGAACTTTCTCAAGACACTTATCTTAAGGACCCTGCGAGAAAGAGAGGATTCTGTGGTAGAGCCTACCCTGGCATCCCGTCTGGAGCCTTTTGATGACAAGGGAGATCAGAGCCCTTCACTCTCCTGCATTCAATATACTGAAAAAGTTAATGAAGAGAAAGAGCTGGCATTCTTTGCTGAAGAACCTTCAAAAGAAAGTTTCAGGAATTACAGTCTAAACATTGCGATAACAGACGGAGAAGATCACAGTCAGATACCCTTTTTCCTCAAACAAATCTGTGATGAAGATCATTCTGATGAGACTCCAGCCCTGGTTGAAACGTTTATCAGTGAAACAGACGCCATTTTAGCTAACTATCTGAAGCCTGGTACTCTAATAAATACTGGAAAGATTAATATTGGTCAATCAAGTAATTCAAGTCTCAAGAAGGGGCCCAACAAAATTAGTGAGCAGCAATCCATACTTCAGATTACAAACCCTGTTGAGAAGACCAAAGGAATCAGCAATTTGAGCCGCATAGGTTCAAGGATAGAACGTATTGAAGCATGGCGTTGAAGGATGCTTAACAGCAGTTGGGCCCTAACTGATACCTTGACAAGATTGCTGTGCATGTTTGTTCATTTTGGAAGTTGTGATGAAAAATTTGTGAAATGTTCATGTATCTTTTTAGTGTGATGAGTGGTTTGCCTATCCTTCTGTAATATCATGGATGACGATTCTACACTTCATAGCTTGACCCTAACATTTCTGCTTTTCATAAAAACGACTATCAACATTGGAATCCTATCAAATGTGGTTTCTCACCGTCACTGTCATTCCCATGATAATTCACTTTCGTTCTTTTTTTTTCTTTTTTCATTCCCCCACTGGTCCTTATATCCAATAATGTCTAATATGCTCTGACTTCTAGGAAACTTCCGTAATATGACGTAGATTTTTCGTTTTGTGTATTGTTGTGATTGTTTTGTTTTAAATAAAAAAATTTATATTATCATAATTTGTGATGATATATCAAATATTAAATATATATTTTAATTTTTATCAAATTTATATATAATTTTTATTAAAATTTTAAATTATATTATTTTCATACTTTTATATTTTGTTCGTATTGCATTAATTTATTATGTTTAAAATTAACAAATTTAGTATATGGAAGCTTTTTACATTAATATTCTGCCTGGAAGCATATGAGTTTCTTCATTTCGATTCAAAAACTTGTTCTCAGGTTTTGGTGCACCCAATCAAAGCTGATGGACCACAAAAATAAAGACAAATAAAGTTTGATGCTCGCCGCTGCCGAAAGCCAGTGCATATTGTGGTGAAAGAAGATCGTACAACTGTGCGGCACCTCCTGTTTAGTACATTGGCAGATACTTCCAGAGGTGGTCTATATTGATATCCTGCTTACGCATACAAGGACAGGCCACCGAAAATGAAGAATCGCAAGCCAATCATATTCTAAAAAGCAAAAAGGAGTGGATATTTAAAAGGGATCGTTCAGAAAATTCCTAGTGCGTGTGGAAACGAAATTTACAGGAACAGGAAAAGCTGAAAATGGCCACTTGACTGTGGCTCACTCTCTTATCTAATAATATAATTCAGGTTTGAACCAACAACTAGTTAATTTAATTAATTAAAGTTTATTTTTTATAAAAAATTTGAATTTAAATTTTATTGATAATCATTTATTAAAATCATTTTAAATCCATAATATAATTATTTATTTTAAATTATCAAATATCATATAATTTATTTTGATTTAAGAAATTAAATATTTTATTTACTTCAAAAAAATTTTCTTACAAAAAAAAATCTAGGTTTGGAAGTTTTGCTCCAAATGGCTGGTCACCTTGAATTGCCATGGTCCTGAAATTAATGAAACCCCCAACTCTTCCAAAAGAAGTTAAACGTTAAAAAGGAGGGTAGTGGTTTATATCAATTGTACTAATTTGGGTAGGCTTCAATATCTCTGGGAGCCGACAGCAGTTTCTGAAAAATACTATAATGGTCATGGTGGACCTGGTAGTTAAGACTTTGAATCCTCTAACCAATGGCTTAACCTCATTAAAAAACAAAGAAAAGGAAATTGAATGTTAGAGGCTTAGCGAGACCAATTTTTTATAAGATGATGTGAAGATGTGGAGGGTGCAAATTATTCTACAAATCACATCAATACATTCTGGACAGCATCATATATTTTTTTTATTGGATGGAGTTCAAGGACAAAGATGGTGGGTTCAAAGCCTCCTCTTATATATGTTTTAAAATTTTCTTAATCACTAAACAAAAGAATTGAAGACATTACTACATGGCATTTTATGATTGGAAGCAAAATGTTGCTATGACAAGATGTGTCAAACATATAAGAGAAAATTAAATGGAAAAAACTATTAATGAATCATAAAATATTAATTTATTAATGAGTAAAGTAAAAAAATATAAAAATCTATAAAAATAAATATTTATAAAGTTCCCATGTTTAATTAATTAAATAAAATAATTTCTCAAAAATAAATAAAAAAAGAATTAATAGGGTTTTTTTTTTTTTCAGTTTTGTCTTGCATGATTCAATGATTCATGAACAAGATCCGAACAACTTCCAAAGGAGAAAAAAATTGGTATAAAATCAGTCAAATTTGAAAAAAAAAAACTTTTGGATGAAACACAAAACCTTATTATTAACAAAAACTAAAATTTTATTTGTTAACTATGTTTTAAGATCCGCCTTCTACAAAATATGCAATTAACAAATCAACTTTGTCTTATGATTCACCATTAATTTCAACTTATCTTTCCTCACGAAAACCTCCATGAAAAACAAAGACAAAAACTTCAAACCAAGCAATCTAGGTTGGAGTTATTCGCTGGGTTTGGAGGACATTAGATGTCGTGGATCCAGGTGGAGCTTTTTCGCGTTGAAGAAAATGGTGAAATAGACTTTCATAATTTCAATTTTATTTATTATAAGATAATATTTCACGATTCCGTGATAGCGTATAAATATTATATATTTATAGTATATCAAATATAAAATTAAATTAAAAAAAATCAAAATATTTGGTACTACTTAGTTTGCCATTAGCTTCATTCAGTCTAGAACCTTGCTAGAGTCATGAATTCCTCTGCTTTACCTTTTTTAAGCTTGAACCCTTCTTTCTTTCATGTGAAACAAAAATCTAAATTTAGTTGTTGAAAAGTTGAAGTCCTAAGCCACACAACCGTGACAATAGATAATGCTCTTGCTAGTGCTACAATTCTAGCACATAATAAAAGGTTATAAAAAACTTTTAAAATTTAATTTAATTTATTTATACAATTATTTTTAAAATATAATATTCAATAAATTTAAAATTTAAATTTCTTTAACCTCTTTTTCAATTCTAAAATTATGACTTCCTTTATACAATAAAGAATCATAAGCAAATAGTAAGTTAAATGTCCAAAGAAGTACTCAAAATTTTACAAAAGTATAGTGACCACCAAATTGACTCCAACCTTCTTAACCACCCATCCTTATTCCACTCCACTAGAAGAGGTACCCAAATTAGTAGCATCTCCCCTTTGATTTTTCAATCCATTTCTTTTCTCTCTACCTCTCCCTCTTCACTCTAACCCTCAAAAGAGAAATTAAATCTCTTTATATTTCCTTCCTTGCTGCTTGCTTGTTCTTTATTTTTTTTCTCTCTGGTTTAAGTATCATCTTTCAAAGAGAAAATAGTGGAGAGCCAAGCCATGGCTACCTGTGGAAGCCTTCAAAACATCTTTGAAAAACCATTACCAGAAAGCCCAACTCTGCTTGAATCCCTCTCATCATGGAACCAAATCAAGCCTGCTATTAAACCTATTGAGCAATCTTCTTTCACTGAAATCTTTGGTGAGCTTCATTTCAAGGAAAATTCTCGATCATCCTCAGCCTGTTCCTTTCCCATTTCACCATTTTCTTCTGCACCTATAATAGATTTGGATCCCCAAAACAGTACATTCAAGCTCTCCAGGAACGATTCTTTCCGTGAAAATGATGAAAACGATAGATGTTCATCACCCCCAGAGTTTATTTCAAGCACCCCAAAGATCATCAAGTACAGTACCAGTAATTGCCACAAGAAGAGCGAAAGCTTTTCATTGAACTCTGAGAGCCTGCATCTATGCACTGAGGGACTTGGTTTTGAGAGCTCTGATGAAGTGGAGGATATGAAAAATGAGATGAAAGAAGACTGGCAAAGCAAAGAGCAGAAAACAAGTAGTATTATTGCTACAAATAAGCAAACAACAACAGAGAATTTGTATGGTGAATTCAAGAGGTCAAGAGTAAGTAATGTAGGAGAATTTCCACCACCAATTTCTTGTATTGGGAAGAGTGGGAAGCCATGGGTTTGCTTTAAGTCTTACAGGGAAGACGGTAGGTTTGTGCTGAAAGAGGTAAGGATCCCAACACAGGAATTCTTGCATGCATTTAGGGAAGATGGGCGCTTGAAGCTGCACTTTGTGCAGCCAAATGATGAAATGTTCTTGGAAGAGGAAGAGTTTGAGGAAGATGATGAAGTAGAATATCTAGAAGAAGGAATCAATGATGACATCGATGAAGGTAAAGAGAAATGGCAAGCCTGATAACAGTCAGAAAATGAAGTTTATTTAGCCAAATTGCAATATGAAAAAAAATGTTTTAAGTAGATTTGCATGCATATATTAGAAAACGAAAAAAAAAAGAAAAAAGAAACAACCTTTCCTTGTGTATTTTAGTTCTCAAGGATATTGCTAATTAATAACTACAGAAGTTTACCTGCTTATCTACTTGATAATTTTGTTTTTGTTTTTATGGTTTCGTAGCTGCTTCGGTTTCATTTTGCTATCCCCTTCTTCAAATTTTAAATATTTTTTATAACTAATTTAAAAATTAAAAAATTGCACAATCTAAAATTTAAATATCTAATTTATTAAAATGATTACATAAAACATCAAATATGTTTTTTTAATTAAATATAGATATATATATGATTTTTGAAAAAATTTTAAATCATATTATATTCAATTTTTTTTATGTGTTTATCACTGACAGATACATCTTTATACTCTGAAATTTTTTTTTGAACATTTCTAAAAATTAAAAAAAAAATTACCTGTACACCTTTTTTATCGACAAAATTAATAAAAATAATAATAATTTTTTTAATATATATTATAAATAAATATTCAATAAAAATAAATCCTGAATCTATAAGTCATAATATAATATGTCCAATCTCAAGTCCTGCTATCAAACATTTATGATTTGCTTAGACCAATGAGTGCCATAATGCCTAAAATTGTAGAACTTGTTCCAATATTGATGTGACAAATTCATTTTCATTCAGCTTAGTTTTCGAGTGTAACGTCCCAAAATCTGCCTTTTATTTCAATAATTCACTAATAAGTAACCATATGGCTTTAGATCCCTCAAAGTGAGATTAGCATTAGAATTTTTATAACTAATTCATGCATTTCACAAATTGGTGCTTGTATTTATTTACTTTTCTTTTCTTTTGGCAAAATTGTGAGTTTGAAACTAAAATTCTAATTTTGCATACCTTACCTCATCTTTATCACTTTGATTAAGAATTTATAGACAGGCAAATTGAGGAACTTCCAAGTTATGAAGAAATGGAACCATAAATTTGGGCATTTCCAGTTAGATGCAATATTTATTCAACTTTTTTTTCTCATACTCAAATTTATACTTTGAAGTGTGAACAAATTGAGCCGGATGCATTATTTAAAAAAAAAAAATTATTTTTTTATCTAAAATTTTTTTATGTTCGATAATCACTTTAAATCTTAATTATTTCGAAATTGAGTTGAATCGAATCTTATAAAAGATGCAAACTCTTTTAATGTTCATTTTTTTTATTTATAAGATTCAAAATCGAAATCTTATTTAAGGGAATCGAATTTTTTGTCATTCGGGTTAACAAGTATTAAAAATTATTATTAACTCATGAGGTGCGGAAGAAAGTTAAAAAGTGTGAAAAATGTGTGCCCGCTGCCAAGAAGGAAAATGAAAGCACAACCTAATAAGCTGACGAATTTGTTAAAATTTTATTTTTTATAAAGAAAAAAAAGTTTCAAGTGCAAAAGTTTAAAAAAAAAAAAAATCAACAGTATTGAACGAGATCGTAAAAGACATGCAAGATGGATTTTTTTTTTTTTTTAGTGTTCATTTGAAGTTTGAATGTGATTATTGGAGTACTATAACGGTTTAAACATCACGAAAAAATTTCAATGCCATAATCAAACTTCAATTCCATAGATTTATTGAAGCTGACACTGAAATATCTAAAGAGAAGACCAATTTTCAGATTTTACGGCGACATTATTATTTTTTTTTTGACAAAAAAGATGATAATCTAAGAATGAAAAATAGAAACTTGAGATTCGAACACTATTTTTTCAAGTTACCAGCAAAATTGGAATGTGAGAGCAAACGAATAATGTTTTGTAAGCTTTGAAATTGTAAGGGCAGGTAAAAATTTGGAACTTGAATCCAAAAGATTAGCTGCAACATATTCAACAAGCATATATAAACTTGAATTATCACAAAACAAGGATATGTCAAATCGTTAAATAATCCCCTTCCGATCGGGAAGATAAGAAATTTGAGAACAATCTCAATAGACACGTTTTATCTCCGGTGAATGGCTAGCAGGCAGATTTTGGGGATCAGCGAGATCCATTTCGATAGCAAAAGGCTTAGAAGAAAAAAGAGATTTGGATATCAAACGAGCCAAAGGTAAAACTGGTAGTACTTTGAACCACTCGATGATACGATAAAGTGGTCCACTAGGCAAACCTTACAAGTTAGTATCCTCTAATGGATAGCTCAGGACCAACGGGATGCTACCAACTTCGTGATTCTGCTGCTTTGCTACACAAAGGGTCCCATAGGGGCGGCAGGGGGTGGCGGGCTGATAGAATCTGCAGGAAAAGAACAGAGAAGGAAAGGCAGAAATGGTAAAGATAAGGAAGCAGAAAAGAGGGGAAGATTGATCAGAGAATTTTTCTTGTTTGTTTTCATTGCAAGGGCGTGCTAAATAACATGCTGCAAGTAACGGTTTCGTAGCAGCTATCTGGCTATTGGTTTTAGTTATCCAAGGTCATTCCTATTTGTAACTTCCCAAGTATTTTGACTTTCATCCCATTACAAAAATCTTGACCTAAGCAGGGCTCTTCTGCCATGTTTGGAGCCTTGGCCTCTGGACTGGTAAGCCCCATGCCCCTGACTCAAGTTCGCATCACGGGTGGTATTGGGAAGAATAAAGTAGTTGAGAGACCGGCCAGAAACACAAACAGTAAGAACACTGAAAAATTTGGTTTTACTTATTGATGTTATTTCATATTAATGGGAAGTCATCTAAACATGTCATTCTGTTCTTTCAAGTCTTGAAAATAGGACATGGCAGCGAAGGGAACTCTCACTGATCATCTCTACAACAACGAAGTAAGGTAACGCGGCTCTGAATCATGATGATGGGTTTCTGCCATCTAATGTCAGAAGCACCTTGTATAAATCAGGCCGTCGATCACGAAACACTCCCCAGCTACTTCTCTTGGATTTGATTTTATCAAGATCAAACTGTGCAATAAGAACAGCTTCCTCTTTGTCATTAGCAGCTGCAACAATTTCCCCAGTTGGTCCTGGAATCAAAATTTTGATATTCAGACTTATTTCAGACAGGTAAAGTTGATGAAAAGAAAAGAATCATCAAACTCATACCAGCTATAAAGGAATTGCCATAGAACGTAATCTCACTATTTCCATGTTCTGTCTCAATTATTTCCTTTCCAATGCGGTTAGAAGCTATGAGAGGTACCTAAATAAAGACAATATCCATTAAGCCTTTTATATGCTAGCAGTTCCTCTCTAAATTTCATAAAAAAAGAATAATCAGGATAATTAATCCTCAGTTACAATCACTAGAAACAAAATGTCTTTATCCAACAAAATCTATCCGATTACAGGAAATTAAAAAGTAACTAGAAAGTCAAGAAAGGGAAATCTGAATTTCAAAGATCTCATCACAATTTAACCTAAACACAATAAAAGCAATTACAATGTTGAGACAAAATGCTAGTCCAGCAGTCTTGTAACTTACCACATTTGCACCAGCGTGCCCTTGCATCACTCGCTTCCAATGATCACAAGAATCAAGTCCTTCATCTTGTGGTTCAGAGCCAATAGCCGTAGGGTAAAACAATATCTCAGCACCTTGCAAAACCATAGCACGGGCTGCCTCTGGAAACCACTGATCCCAACATATCGCTAACATGCAAAATCAAGCAATTGCTTTAGGTCATCTTCCACATCTTTGTTTTGCAGGTAAATTGATGAAACAAACAGACACAAGACTGCAATTACTTCATGTTGCCAAGTGCCAATTTTGACCCCAGAATAGAGACTGTGATTGCAAACAATAATTACAAGTTACACCATACTTTGAGTCATTCAAGTGACAGATGAACTATTTTTAAAAAATTTTCAAGCTGAACAAGAAAAGATTAAGCGGAAGTGTAACATTGTCAAAAAGGAAAAGAAGCTCTTACCAACTCCAATCTTTGCAAATTTAGTCTGGAAAACCTGTTACCAATGGAATCAAGACAGATCGACATAAAACCTCAAAGTTACTGAAACAAATGTTAGTATCAGTTAAACTCAGGTTTTACTAGGCACCTACCTTAAAGCCTGTATCACCTGGATTAAAGTAGAACTTTTCCTGGTATCCTGAAAGAGTGGAGAGGAAACTCAATATTAATAATTAAAATACATATGAATGATCTCATATTGAAGTGAAGCATTCCCTTTTAAATTAAACCTGGTCCATCGGGGATATGAGATTTCCTGTATAGTCCAAGATCAGTCCCATCAGCATCAATGACAGCTACAGAATTGAAATGGGCATTGTTTGCCTCTTCAAAGAAACTAACAGGTATCACCACACCCAACTCTTTTGCAAGTGCCTGCATCCTGAAAGCATGCACATGGGCCAAAACAAGCCCGATTGAGTAAATAATTAGAAGCTGGAAGTGAAGACCAATTTAGTTGTTCTTATATGAGAAAACAAGAAATAGATACAACCAATCAACTTAAATATATAAGCCAATCAGTAGGCAGTAATGTTACCTCTGAATGGTAGGGTGATCCTTATAAGGCTTAGCTCTCTGAAAGAAATCCTCCCTTTGTGCTTGACAAAAGTAATAACCCTCAAATAATTCCTGAAGACAAATAAAGACATAAGAATGACAGCTAAACAAATATCAAATAATAAGGAATTTGTCAGACTGAATCAATCAGATTAGCACATTTCTATTGTACCACCAATTACAGTATGCAGAAACAGAATTGCAGATGTATTGGAGGACATGAGAGAAAATTCTGTGGTAACATTAAAATTAGAGCCATTTCTTGTTCAAGTCTCCATTTTAGAAAGCCAGGATTTCACAACAACTATATCATTAAGGGAGCAACTTTCCATCCATTAAGAAAGAATCTAAAGTAGCAGCAGTACCTTATCATAAACTGTTTTCCCAGAAAACTTTTGAAATCCCTCTTTGTATCAGTTTTTTTATGGCAGATATTCTAATCTAGTTTATTATGTTATATATCAGAAGCAGTACCATGAACAAAGTCTGTTCATCTTAGTCTCAGTTTTTTTTATTTTTTTATTTTTTTTAGCATCACAACTTGTTTTCTGGTTTCTATTGATGTTTCTACCTGTCAAAGATATGAACATTTTCTGTCATTTTTTCTGGATTAATTTCTTTTCCAGCACTTATCATTTTTTAGTTATGGCATGTATTGCATTGTTCATTTAATTATTCATGCAGATGGTTCAGCATTAGCAAGATAGATGATGTGTCACAGTTGAGGGGTGGTCTAGAAGTTAAACAGCCATAAAGATGCAAAAAGAAAAAAAAAAAAAGCTGTAGCTTAAAAAAGGCATTTACTACACACACTATACTAGAAATGTTTTACCAAGAAAAAGGAAATCATTTCTTAGGAAAGACTGAACACTTTAGGAGCCAAATATATTAAAATTCAAGAGGACATACCTGAATAAGAATGATATCCGCTCCCTTTCCATGAGCAGCCCTAACCAACCTGCATAGAGGAGAGTCATTTTAGGTTACACATGTAACAAGCAAAAGAGAAGGTTGGATAAAAAGCTGGCAAAATGTGCTAATCATACATTGAGAGGTAAAGCATGGGGAAGTGAAGAAAATATCATATAAATTAGAGAGGGAAAGTGGAGTATGCTACACAGAAAAAAGAAGCCAACCACACCAAAACAAACCCTTCCTCGCTACAAGAGGTCAATTACAGGAATCTATTGCATCAATACGCTCCATTTAGAACTATACTGTCAATAAGCTAGTAAAAAGATCCCCTTTTTCATTTAACAGCTAAGTCTTCTTTAGTCTTTCCTCCCCATTTAACATGGCAATATGGCATCCTTCACTAAGTTAATATTCTTATTGGAACTTGTAGACCTTGCCTCACATGTCCAAATCACCTTAAATGTTTTATTTTTCTCTGATTTTTACCATCAATTAGCACCACTCCCACCTTTTTACACATGTTACCGTTTCTAATCATGCCCCTTTTTGGATATACACCAATCTATCTTAGCATTCTTATCTCTACTACCTTCAAATGGCAATGCCAAAAAAACTTATTTGAGCAAAAGAAAAGGGACCAGAAAACAGCCTAATTACAAGTATGACTTGTATAAAGATGAAAGTCAGATCAATGCACTTCAAACATTCACATGCAATGGCTGATCAGTATTAGAAATATTAGTGTGATTTAACAAAAAAAGGTTTTGAAACTCCAAGGAAAATAGATACAAATATTTAAACACTAAGAGATTGAAAGCTATTGGAGATATAACATCCTAACAAAGCTCTCTATTTAATGAAATCAAGATGTAAGCGGGATCTCAGTTAACATATCCATGAGTACCTCATACGCATGCTCGAAAAGCTGCTGTGGACATGCACACATGCACTGTGTGTTAAAAATGTGGACAGAGACAATCTTTCATGGGATTAGAATATGCAAAATTTTGCGGCATTAAAGAATTTGTGAACATCATACTAGATAGTTCAAGACTTAGAATCCCGTTTTTCAATTTGGTGAGTAAAAGTATCAATATCTTCCCAATTGTTTCCTTGAATTGAGTTCAAAATTCCAAGATGAAAAGGATCAACCACAACAATAAGGCAAAAGAGACAGGTATCCTAAGAAAAGATGGCACCAGCTAGGAGGAGAAAGTAGCATTAAGGATCATAACAGTTGTCACTATTTAAGACTTAAAATAAGATTTATAGATTGAGAATACCAAATTTCACAAATGTGCTGCAGAAATATGAAGAGCTAAAGTGAAATGTCACATTCAAACTCTTTTATAAAAAAATTTATCAGAAAACAGAAGCCAAAATGAAATTGATGTTCAAGCCAAGGAGATGAAAATAAAATTCAATAGAGTTTTTCCACCCATGCTGTGAGCTTAAAGCCTTCTACATATAAGTAAATTCAGGCATTCACTGTCGTTAGGTGTGAAGCATGAGTAACCACGCAGGAAAAGGCACCAAGAAGGCAATAACTCTAGCTTACCCCCAACAAAGTTCAAACCTGGACAGTTTAATAAAGCAAATTAACTTGAAAAGAGTGGATAACCATGATCAGTCTCTATATCACTTTTTTATGGTTCTCATATAAGAATCAAGCAACCAATTTACAGGCTCTTATAATATGAAATTGAAGGGTCCGAAACTCATCAAAATTGATTAAAAGAAGAATAACAAAAACAACCCACAAGACCAATATATAAGAAAACCAAGGAAATAACTTTAACAGATTCCAAGAGTATCAAAGCAAATCCAAAATCTGGGTTCAATCAAGAATTTCAAATTAACTAAAAAACACCCCCAACAAAAATACGATGGAATGAGAAACAAAACAAAAACAGGAAGAGCTAAGAAAAGAACCTCTCGGCAGTAGCGAGATTGGTGGGGACATCATCGGTACAAGCGAATTGCAAACCTGAAACAACCACTTGTCTCTTTCCCTTCTCCATTTCTTTTTTATTATTATTATTATTAATATGCTTTGCTTATTCTTTTCTTTTATCTCAGACCTCAAAGACAGCAGCTGAGTAGCGGGTAGCAAAGTTAAGTTGAAGTGCAAGACATAAGTCCAACTGTCCAAGTCCTGTATCTCACATTATGCCTTTCAACTTGCAATCCCATTCGTATAAAATAAGGTTTAGTCGGTCTCCTCAGTTTTTGCTGTAACTTTTTTTTTTTTCTTTTTCTCATTAGGCGGCTTTCGATGCTAATAATATCTTTATTTTATTTCAATGGGTTACAGATTTCAAGTATGAATGTTACGTTTTTTTTTTTTTTTTTAACATGTAAATTAGGTTTTTAACTTTACTACATTTAATAATAAGATTCAAATTTTATTTTCGTCAACATTTTGTATCATTGTAAAGTGAAATACTAATCTATAACAATAAAGGTTATGAATTTTCAATTTATGAGAACAGTATGGTATATAACAATAGGGGTTATAGATTTTCATTTATGTGTAATATGAAATTCCTAATAGAGGAGAAAATCACCAACCAGGTTAAATATGCTATCAAGTGATAAATATTAACCAATAACAGTGTACCGAAAGTATTAACTTATTTTTTATAAAAAAATACAACTCAAAAATAAAAAAAATATTGTAGTTATCGAACAGGACGAAACCTTCTATTCCTTTGTCTTTCTAATATCTCCTTTGTCTTTTTCATATCGGGTTTAATCCGTTCCTATCATTCAGTGGAAGAGAAAAGAGGAAATAATGGAATGTTTAAGCCTTGCTTAATAGCATCCTGATAGATAACCGATTACCATAACTTATAAAGGAAAAACAAAGAGAACTTAGTCAAAGTTCTTAGATGGTGTAAAATCTCAAATTACTTTTATTCCGAAATAATGAAATATTCACTGCCTGTCTGTACCCTAATCTACAAACTCGAATTAGACCAATTAAAAGAAACAAAAAACACAAAATGGAATATCATGGTTTTGTTCTTTCAATTGCAATTTTTTTTTTCTTTGAGATCAAAGAACCAGTAAATCAAACACCTCTGTTGTCATATCAAGAAACAACATAAACTGTTTGCAAGAAGTCTGGATTATTTTCAACTACAGAGTAGTAGGGTAACTATTCATGCCATGTTTCACTTCCAAAATCCTGTGAAATTAACCTCAGTCATGGACTTCTTGCTTCCTGTCTTTGGATTTGAGATACCATCCCAGAGCACCAGCAGAGGTTATAACACCAGCAAGAACTGCATAGTTCCGATACTTATCAGTTGATACTTTCTCAGTTGATGCCCCTGACGTTGAGGTAGAGCTGGTAAACTTAGCATCAGTCACAGAAGCCCCTGAACCTGCATCTGGTTTCTCCTCTGGTTTGGGTCCCTGAATATTTCAACAATTCCTTGAATATATAATCCGTATTTGTTACAAAATAACTCAAACTTTTAAGTGTTTAAATGTGGCAGGCAAAACTGCCGGCATTTGACTTGAACATACAGAGTTCCTCTAAATACTAGACAAAATGAAGCATGAAGCTTTGTGGGCATTCATAGTGGCAAGTGTTAGTGCATGTATTATCAGCTGTTGTATAATATTTTTTAACGGAAAGTATTACTCAGATAAAAGGAAAAAACAGTTAAAAACCCTTTTAAGCATCTAATCCACATTCTACAAAATTTAGGTCATAAGAGATCAAGAAAACAATGATAAGAGCATACCTTGCGTGCAAGTTTCTCCAATTTCTCTTGCTCAATTTTCTAAAATAATATAACATTTTGTTAGTACATTAACAAATCATAACACAGAAAAACAAAGTAAATACTCATGGTCTAGGACATTTTGCCGAATCTGGATCATGATAACAGGGCAAAAGAGTGGAAGGGAAGCAGAAGAGTGAGAGTAAGAAACGAATAACAAGATCAACTTGTGATATTTAGACACAAACAATCATTTATACAAACTTCTATAATGCATAACATAAATAATATAACATATAAAAGTACAAACCACTTGAGCATCATTGATTACTGTAAATCTATAATATTGTTTCCATTTGCATCATGTGCATATGAACTTGTATGCAAATTAAAATAGACAATTTCAAAGAAATTACAATGCCCAAAGTAGCAATGCATGCCCTCCAAAATGCAAAATAATAAGACTCTTATGTGAGAAAAATAAGAGAGGGAAGACATTCACAATAATCAACAGACAATGGCATCATTTTTTGACTATTAGTTGATGCAATGTGGGGGAGAAAAAAAAAAGGATGAGAAAAAACACTCAAACCCCTGCTGTTTGCGAGAGAGCAAGAAAAGACATTCCAAAGGATAGACCTAAAGCTCTCCAGTAGTCATAAAAATAGAATCATCGTTAAATAGAACCAGATTATGTAATCAGCAACAAAATTATCATCCATAAATGAAAGAGTATTTAAGCAATATCAGAGGCAAAGAATCTTTGTTAACAAAAAGGCATACAACCCACGTTACAAAACTCAGAGAGGATAGGACAAAAGAGCTTATGGATGTGTTCCTATCTATTTTAGAACTAGACTAAACTACTATCAAATATATTAGCCACCAGAAAGACCCAGATAGCACAGTTAGAGGCATCCAAATGTCTCTGAATATTTCAATCTTCAAAACCATAAAAACCATGATAACTAGCGTCACATTTTGCATGTAATAGACCAACACGTTCTAGTGACAAGATCCTTAGATATCCCTTGTCACTGCTAGGCCAAAAATGGTTGATACCAGTTCCTTTCATCCAGACCTTAGATCCTTACAGTGTACCCTTCTCTTATAGAAGGATTATGAGCAACATCAATTTATTGATAATCCCAAGTTGAGTAAAATGCTAGCAAAAGGAAAAACAATAGATAGGCCTACAAAAACAAAACCCTTGAAGGAAAGACAATTTTTTTTTAAAATGTAAAAATAATACAACCTATAGGAAACAAGGAAATTGAAAGCAGTTTAAACAAAAATGTTTATCAGAATGTTAAAACAACCTCTGAAACCTGAGCTCACACCAAAACAACAATGTTTATGTGCAAATGATAAATGGAAAAAGCCTGTAACGAATTTGTACCTTGATGTAAACATTTTCCGCAGCCTTTTCCTCCTCACTCAGTATTTTCCCACCACTCGAAAACCTGCGAGGTATGTATCTAGCGGCCATTCTGGTTGCCATAGTAGTTGACTACAAAACCTGCAACCAGCATATCAGAGACAATTACGTAACCAAACGTATAGAACTAATTATCACGTATCACCACTGTAACACAGAGTCAATTTCTATCAATGCGAGGATAGATATAGTCAAATAAGAACTACATAACCATGATTCATAACACTTGAAAATCACATCAACTTCAAATGAAGGTATCAACATATTGTCCTAAAACAATGAAAAACTTCAGGCTTCAAAGACCTCAATGATTAAACCATTTAAGAGTATTAGTCAAAAACGTTTTAAATACCCAATGAACCATCATCGGTAAGCACTTTAAACTAAAACCCAGATTTTCTCTTCCATTTCTGCGTTCAATTCATTAATCCTATAGTAACCCTGTAACAATTGAACCGAGCATTACACTACTTATTACATTAAATTAGAATAAACAAGCAAATTATTTTCCATAAAAAAAAAGCCCGTGACTTCCATTGAATCATATAAGAAGAATGAGAAAAAAAAAAAGCAAATAAAAATGGGAACAGAGAGAAGTCGCTTACCGAGCAGCTGAAGCAGTGAAGAGTAAAAAATTCTTCTGGAAAATGGAACGAGGGGGTTAGGTCTTATAGGATTAATGTGTACTGTACAGGATTTGTAAGCAGGGCTTTTAAATGGGCCCGGATTTGGGTTGGTTTTACGGAAGGAAGCTCATCTGCCGTTCGATTAAAGAAATGGATTGATTCCTTCGAGACAGGTTTATGATGCTACCAAACAATAACTTCTCCTAAATTAAAATAAAATAAAATAAAAATTATTATTTCATAAATGGTTAAATATTATTATATATATTTAATTATATTAATTAATTTATACATGTCACCCAATAGCTAAACTTCATAAAAATTTACGAAATCGTCACTAAAATTTTTTGTAAAGTGTGATTGATTATTTAAAAATATTATCTTTTGATAAAAATTTTAAAATTAATTAAAATTTACTAAAAAAAATTTAAGTCTACAAAACTAGAGTTAGATTCAAAAATATGATTACATATTAGGAAGATATTAAAACCTTTACAATACCGTTTAAGTCGCTCGTTTGAAAAATGATATCAATTAAATATGTGTAATATTTTAATCTTGATGATGTGATCTTTTTTTATATTTAAATTTAATTTCTTAAAATTTATTTATGAAAAATTTTTTTGTTATGAAATCAATATTATTATTATTATTTCGTATTCTATAAATTCTCAAACGCTTTGGTAGAATTTATAAAAAATCTTTATTTAAAAAATATTTCAAAAAAATTGATCATTTATAAAATTCTCAAAATTTTGTCATAAAATATTCTATTTATTTATTAAAAATGATTTTAGGAATATTTCGACTCTTTGATGATATCCTAAAATTTATTAAGCAATTTGTAAGATTATCTCGACTTTTTGACGAGATCTTAAAAAATTTTAAACAAATTTTAGAATCATCTCAACTTTTTGACGAGATCTTAAATAAAATTTTTTTTATTTATGATAATTAAGAGATTAAATTAAATATTTAATTAATTTTTATTGTAATTATTTCCATTATTTGTTATTTTTTACTATTTATTATTTTATCTTTTTTATTATGTAAATGAATAATTTATTTAGTAAAAAAAATTCTTTTAATTTTTTGTTTTGGATTTTCCAAACTTTTTAGTGAAAATCCAAAAAATACTTTTTGTAGTAATTAAGAGATTATTTAAAGAAACACTTTGATTTATTTTTTATTATTTATTGCTTTTATATTGTTTAAATAAATCTTTATTTTAGTAAAAATAATTTTAAGATTATCCCAACTCTATGATGAAATTCAAAAAATTATATTTAATTACAATAATTAAAGAAAGCCAATCTTTTTTTCTTTTAAATTACATTTAAAAGACTAACTTATACAATTCATTAGTTTTCATTTTTTTATATTTTATTATTATTATTATTATTAGAAAAAATTATTTCTTAAATTATCCCAACATTTTGGTGAAATTTATGTAATAAAATTTGAATTTCTTTAAATAATAATAATAATAATAATTATTATTATTATTATTATTATTTAAGATTTATGTATATTATTTTTTTATTCACCAAATCTACATTTTAATTTAACTTTATTTTATTTTTACTCATTTTCTGAAAAATGAATAATAATAATAATAATCATCATCATCATCATAAAAAACCAAAAATTAAAATTAAAATTAACATAAAATAAATAAAATAATACAAAACAAAAAAAAAAAAACTTGCCAAACGAGTCAAGTCAACACATTGGTTGGAGCACGAGTCATTCCACAAGTTGGATGTTCCAAAACGACGTTGTTTTTTACAATTTATAAAAAGTTTTTTTTTTTTATTTTTTCCTTTCCTTTCTCTCTCTTTCTAAAAACCAAAGCTCCTCTCTTTAAAAAATCCTCCTTTCCAGTGGTCATTGTGAAGCCTAGATTATGGTTGGTTGTCACTATGCATTGATGGCTAAAATTTTCAATGGTATCGAAAAATTCAACAAAATCTAGTTTTCAGTGTGTTTTCCAATTTTTGGTAGCCAAAATCTTCAATCGATTGTTAAACAATTTTAAAATTTCAAATTCTAGCGACCTAAAATAATTTCAAAAAAATCTAAAAAAATTTCAGATTTCTCTTTTTTATTTTGTAAACACTTTTTCAAAGCCATATTTTTCAAAAAAAAAAAAAATCTTAACCCTAATAGATTGAGAATTTTATTCTCAGGAGTTTTTTTTGTTTTTGAATTTTTTTTTTGTGTTTACTACTAGTTTCTTTGTCGAAGAAGATTGATTTTTTTTGTGCTTGTGTGTGTATATGTTTTCCTTTTTTTTCTTTTGCAGAACCTAGTAGCTTAATCCTCTATGTATGCATGTGTATTTTTTTTTTACAATATTTTCCCCCTAAGTTTTCTTCCTGTTCCTTCCCTTAGTTCTTATGTGAGTTAGCTCTATTTATAAAGTCGATTTGGAGATTAAAATCTCATATTTTTTGAGATAATTTTATGAACGTTTTGGTTTTTTTTTCAAGAAAAAATTATTTGGTGACCTAAAATTATCGATTTCATACTATAAAAATTAGATTGGTATTAGAGAAAAAAAAAACCACCATTCTAATAGTTTGTTTTTAGTTGTCAGAGTTTAAATCAATATTTTTTTTACTTTTTTATTAATTTCTTTTATTATTATATATATCTTTTTGGACAAAATATGTGCCTACAATATCTTTTTAAATATATTATGATGAGATAATGTGATATAACCTTTTAAAATCAATGGGATTTAAAACACTATTAATGATGTATTAAATACTTGAAAATGGATAATATCGAAATTGAACATTAAAAAGTTATTTACTTCAAAGAGGGTTTTTTTTCCCTTTTATCATATGCTTCATTCGAGTTATTGAGTGGGGTAAAATTTAAATAGGAATTATATTTGAAACTAAATACTTTTCGTTAACAAATTTTTTTCCTTAGTGTGAATTTGGATAAGATCTTTTTTGAAAAATCAAAACCCAAAAAATAAAAAAATATTAGTAATGAAAATCAAAATTTAATCTTAATCGAATTCATTTTTAAAAAAATAAATGAATTATTTTAACTATACCTTTCCAAGGACATCATTTATTGTTACTTAAATTTACTAATTTTCATTTATGTGAATAAAACTAGTTTTATTGTATTATAAGGTTATTAATAAATATGCTAAAATGGTTACTTAATTATTATTGTGAGACCTCTAGACAGATAATAGACTTCACAAATCAAAACAATAATAATATATAGCACTAAAGATTATATTATACAACTACCAAGCACAGTAAATCTCCATTTGCGATTTATTTTCCTGATCAATCACATGAAGAAAAAGGGGATCAACGGTAACATGACTATCCACGTGGACTTTGAAGCTATGATTCCACCATAACACCTTTGCCTTACCACCAATCCAGCTTTGCATCAAGCACCATCTCTCTTTTCGCCACGTCAGCAAAAAACTTCCCCGCGTGGTGAGCCAACTCCACCCCTTTCAGCCGAGTTGGCAGCTTCAGCACCTGGCACGACCGGGACGGCTGGGACCCTGCATTCACCTGAGCCGCCCCGAGTAACGACCCTTCATAGAGTATGGACATAGTGGTCGAAAAGTAATGGACAGGCGCGATGTTGGGGTTGGTGACGTGGAGGGTGAGGATCAGCTCGGCGTCGATGTGGGGAAGGTTGACCTTGAAGGAAGTGAGCTTGATTGAGATAAGGTGGAAAGTTGGGTCTTAGGTTTCGCGCTGAGGAGAGCAACCGCTGCCGTGGTTGATGCTGCTCCTACTAATGCGGAGGACCAGCTCCATTTTACCTTTTTGCCCATCGGTTTTGGTGGAAACTACGGATAACCTTTCTTTCCCCCTTTTTAGGGGAAAGTTCGGAAATGGTGATAGACTGTGAGAGTGACGGATGGCAAGGCATAGAGAAGACAACAAGGGGCCAATCGTTAGGTAGATGAAATTACAATATTATCCTCGCATATGGTAGACCTTTTTGGATTTTTAAGGGTATTGTGCAATTAACAAATAACAAGAACAAATCAGGTGTGGAGCTGTCTGAAAACCATCCAAGGAAGATAAGACACGTGGCGATAAGGAAGCATAATAACATTGGACCAGTTGGTCAAACTTTAGTTGAAAATTGAAATGAGTAAGATTAAGAAAATTTGAATATAAAAATGAATAAAAAATTGTACAATTAGTTAATAAATACAAATAAGTAAAAATTAAAAAATTTATGTTTATTAATAAATATAAAAATATTTTAATAAATAATTTTATAATAATTGAAGTAAAAAATCAATTATATTTTATTAATTAAAAAATAGCATGTTTCTAATTACCTTCATTAGGGTAAAAAATAATTATTTTTATTAATTAAAAAGTATAAGTAATTTATTAATTAAAAAAGTAAAAAAGTATTATATATTTTTAATAATTAAAAAATGATATTTTTATTAATTATTTTTATAGCATTAATTGATAAATAATTTTATTTTAACATTTTATTTTGTAATTTTTGTTTGAGAGGAATGCTTGCCTCATCTTCCTTTATGTTAGAAAAAAAAAAAAAAAAGAAATTGAAGAAATGAAAAGAGTGATACGCGGTTAAGCTAAAAGTTAGTTAAACTTGAATTGAAATGAGTAAGATTAATATTATGGATTGACAAGCTTTCAAGTTTACGATGCAACAATTAGATTTTGGCGCTCATTTACAGTATGAAAAGTCCGAAGTATATATATATATATATTAGATTGCAGTTTTTTGTATAAAAAACTAATAAGCTCATTAGTTTTTTTATAAACAAAATTGAAGTCTAAAAATTAAGGGAAGAAAGAACTCATGATGTAAAATTTGGATTTTACTAAAAAAGATGAGAGAAAGTTATCTTCTCTTGTGTAAAATGCCATGGAAACATTATATTAACGTTATTCTCATTCTGCATACTAAACAAAAAGGCTTTACATATTTTAATTAGTTTCAAGTAATAAGCAAAAGGTGTCAACCTAAAATCATTCAAACCTTCCAAACAGAAAAATGGAAAGAGATCAGATGCTACATAGAATATACAAAGAAGAAAGAGGTGAAGAGCGTTAAAACCAAGCAACTTGAGCCAATGCAGTTAATGCTGCGAGTGCCACTGCTATGATGATAACGATTATGGTTCACGGCACCGGCTGCATACACAGGGATTACAGCTCCACCCTGCCCATCCGGTGACTTTGTCCCTCCAACATTATCGCCAGCAGCACCGCCTGCGCTGCCATGTGGATCTCCTCCTCCGCCACCACGCCTCCCTACAGCTTTGATCTCATGTTTGCCTCCTAGTTGAACTGCGAGTGACAATTTCTTTGGCACTATTGGTTACCAATATTTTTTTCGTGATTAAGGACTATAACAATAAAATTGTAGTAATTAAAATCTCTAGCCTAAGTTCCCAGCGAAACACAATTATTGAATTAATCGACAAAAACTTCGTTGAGTCAACAGCAGAAATTAAACAACTTTAATTGAAAACTAAAGCAGTTGAACAGTACCTGCATCCATAGAATTTTGAGGAAGTGCAAGAAGAAGATGCAGCTGAAGGGAGAGCAGCAGAAACAACACTCCCAGACCCAGCTGTTTGAAACTGATTGATTTTATTATTAAGCCTGTCACCATGATCAGTCTCACAAATTCGCAATCCTAGCTTGCAAATTTATCTGTTTCATGAAATCTACTGTCAAGTCATTTCCTATATAATACAATTCCATGTAATCAATCAGCGGAGCGGACACGTTTTCAACAGAAATTAACCATCAAATAATAATATTCCTTTTTCTTTATAAAAGTCGACAACATTCTCATTCTATGCTCATCCACTCGCAAGTGCATGTTGGGTCCAGTGGACCATTGATGCTTCGTTCGTACAATTATGGATGAAAAAAAATTCTTACCGTGATGTAATGCATACGATGATCATAATTTTATCACATTTAATAAAATTTGTGATGAGTGATCGGAATTATTTTATTTTCTAAATAAAACAATAATTTTTTTTAAAAAAGCTTGCATTAGATTTATTTGTTTATTATTTTTTAACACAAAAATGAGTGAAAACATCAATCAATAATTTATAAAAAAAAAAAATTAACTTAAATTTTTCATGTGAAATTTAAATGAGAAAAAAGAGTACGGATTCATTCCATTATTTTTAATTGATAAATGATTTTTATAGAATTTATTGAGATAAGGCTTTATTGAAAAATATATATTTTATATATGGAAAGTTTTAGCAATATATTCTTCTTGCCTAAAAATCTAGATTCTAATTAAAGTCATTGAGCAATTTAAAGTTGAAAGTATATATTCTCTTAAAACCTTAAAAAATGATCATCACTAAAAATTAAAATGTTAAATGTAAAGTACTAAAGTATTAAGCAAAGCATAAGGAAATTTGAGTCACACCTTTCTCTTTTTCTCTTTTCATTAAGATTCCTCGACTAACCACTCTCTAGGTATATGCGATATTATTTTTACAGAGGTAAAAGTTTTTTTTACGCCAACAGACTTTAAAGCATTGCCGTACGTTATGGTATCGGTCAAACTTATTGATATGCTTCACTTATATTAAAATATAATACGTTAAAAAATAATTCTTTGTTTTAAATTTAATACAAAATAATATCAATTATATTTATTGGTTTCAATTAGTTTCAGTAAATTTCAATGAGATAATTTATTTTGATCAATATATGAATGTAAAATACATTTTGTAACTTAATAAAAATAAAACTAATGAATGAAATAATCCTTAAAATTTTGGTTTTTTTATTTTTTAGTGCAACTTATTTTTTTTATACTTATTTTTTTGAATAAAATTCATAAATATTTTAATTTCTTTTAATAAAGCAATTGTGCATACTCTTTAAAGTTTAAAAATCTTAAAACTAAAGTTAATTACTTTTTCATCTTTTTGTTTTTATCTTAATAAATTTTACACGAAAAAAATGCTTACTTAAAAAATTAGATTAATTGTTTAAAAATATCATAATAAATTGATGTAATTATTTATTGTACTTTTAAACTTATTTATGTAATTTTTGACATATTGTATATTTATTTTACATATTATTAGTATTATTATTATGTATAAATTCATGGATATATATATATATATATTTGTGTTAAATCAAAAAATTCGAAATAATATGTGGAAATAATTGATACCGATATATATATCATTTTAAAAAAAAATTAAAATGTTGTATGATATGATATTAATAATTTTGGTTTAAAATTCTATAAATACAAATAAATTATCTCAACATCACTGGAATTTTTAAAATTTAAAATTGAAATTAATAAAATGATATATATATCCATAAAACATATTAAAAATTAAAAAATATTTGTCCATTTCCTAACCTTGTTTATGAATTAAAAATTTTCACTATAAATATATTAAAAAAAAACTCATTTTTCGAGATTAAAAATAACCACCACTCATCATATAATTCAATATCACATCTAAAAAAAAAAAAAAAAGCCTCCACCCAAAAATATAAAGCCAAACTTTATCTTTAAAACCAAGCTTAGCTATTAAGTTTACTCTTAAATATAGTATTTAATTAATAATCATGTGATCTGTTGATAAAATATTAAATTGTTAATTTCTGTAATTAAATTTTAAATCTTGACTATTTCAAATATAAATAAAATATAATACTTAATGTAACCTAATTGATAAATTAATTAAATTCAAACGTTCAGATTGCATTTGATAGATTGAATCAGGCGCCTAATACATTATTAATGAAATAAAAGCACTCCTAGTTATCTTTTCTTTGTATGACGAAAAATTAATAATTCTCTATAAAATTTAATAATCCCTACTTACAAACGCCTGGAAAGAGAAAGAAAATGGAAAAATTATCCACCTAAGTTCTACATAAAAACATCTATTTAATTAAAATTATACGAGAAAGAAAGTGGCGAATAAGGCCAGAATCAGGTAATGTAAGGAAACGTAATTGAGAGTGCCACCATTGGAACCACGAGAGTGAGAAATGCGGGGATGATTCGTGGCCCCTGCGGCATACAGGGGAACTACAATTCCACCCTGCACGTAGGGTGATTTTTTCCCTCCACCGTTGCCTCGACCTCGAGCCCCGCCTCTTCCCCCACGTCCTCCTCCTCCTACGTGGCCGCCTCCATGACCACCTCCGCCAACGCCTCGCTTGTTTACAGCTATGATATTTTGCTTATCGCCTGATTTCACTGACATTAATAACAGTGTTTTGGGCAGACACTTTGTCATTGACATTTCACTGAGATAAGCTAAATGCCTATTTTAGAATCTAACTTTTCTAACACTTTCAGGAAACATCATTTTATTTTGACGGTTGTAAAAATGAGTATTTATTTGACAAAGATTGGTCCAAACATTTTTTTGGTATAAAGAGTATCATAGCTAGGAATATAAGAAGATATTGTAAATACCGAGATTTGAATATTTGATATGTTAGATATCATCTCGCTTTTTAAAATTGGTTAAATGAACAATTGAATTAAATTCCTAATTCGGGTCCAAACATTCTTTGATTACTAAGAGATTTCAAATTCTGCATTTTGAGCACAAAACCATACATTAACCACTAAACTAAACAAAATGATCGAGTGTGCTACTTTTCTTGTTCTTAGGGCAATATCTTGGATCCCATACATGCTGAATCACTTTTTCATTTTTGGTCTGAAAAGAGTTTGGCTAAAGAATGTACATGAAATATTTTATGCTACACGGACAAGTAAGGAATGCCCATTTTTCAAGTTTTTGGCTGAAATCTTGGTTTTGGTTTCATAAAATGCATTCAGCACCAGACAGGCAAAAGATCAATAATTCTTCCAAGAAATTCAATCAACCATAATCTCTCAAAGTCATGTTTCAAATAAAGAAAAACAATTTAAACCATTTTCTTAGCTTGAAAAATTACTGGGTTTCATCATCATAAAAATTGAAAACATATCCTTCAACAATATAAAAAAGCACACACAGGCAAAAGTGTCCACTTGGGGAGGCAAGAATTGGAAAGGTAAAGCAACACAGGGAAACATACCTATAGTCATGAGAGGATTTGGCAGGGAAGTTTGAGGAAGTACTGCAAGAAGAGGATGAAGCTGAACAGAGAGCAGCAGAAAGAACATTCCAAACTTCTTGAAACCCATTTTGAAGCCTGGTTTTAGTCACCCACCAACTCAATAAAACCTGTGGCTGCATTGAATCAATGTCCCAAACTTATAATCTTAATGGGACGGTGAGGTTTCTTGCAAAAACCTGAGACGACAGCGAAAAAGGTAAAAAAGAGGTGGCCCCAAAGGAAAAGCAAGAACTTTGTAACCGAATCTCTTTCTTTATCTTTGCTTCTTTGATTGAATTAGTCTGAACAAAAAGCAAATTTTGGTTAGGCCTTATCCCCCGTATATACGTGAACCGCCAACAATGGAGTCCAAAACTCCATGGATGAACCACCAACAATAGGCGTTATCCGCCGTATATACGTCAACCGCCGTATATACGTCAACCGCCGTATATCCATTATTTATGCCTCATTCGTACAATTATGGATGAAATATGATTCTTACCGTGATAAAATGTGATGATCATAATTTTATCACATTAATAATAAAATGTTGCGATGAGTTAATTTTTTTTATTATCTAAATAAAACATTAATTTTAGAGAAAAAAAAGGTTTACATTTGATTTATTTATTTATTATTTTTTAACATAAAAATGATGTGCACTTTCATATTCTCAATCAAGGTTTTGGCATCATTGTCAAGAATTGATGCAGTTGGTTCAATATTAATACTAAGCATCTTTATTGTAGTTTGGAGTTTATTTTTCTTGTTTAATTTCTTAGATTCTTCTTGTGTTGCATGCTTAAAGTTGAGAGTTCTAATTTATTGCCCTTAGATAAAAAAATTGAGAAAAATCTTAAAAAGATAAAGAAGGGTAAAAATCAAACAACTCTTGAGCAACCAATGGCTGAACAACAAAAGAATCAAAGAACATTAAGGGACTATGTTATCCCACAATTAGACGGCTTTCGACCTAACATTAGAAGGCTGGCCATTCAGGCCAATAATTTTGAATTGAAGCCATTGATCATAAATATGATTCAGAACTTAGTCCAGTTTAGTGAGTTTCCTAGTGATGACACCAATCTACAATTGTCTAATTTTTTGAAAATTTATGATACTTTTAAGCATAATGGTGTTATTAAAAATGCCATTAGACTAAGATTATTTCCTTTTTATTTGAAGGATACGGCAAAGAACTAGTTAACTTCTCTTCTATTTGGCTTTATCATTACATGGGATAGCTTTGTTCAAAAGTTTCTAGTAAGATTTTTCCCATATGCTAAAATTGCTAAGATGAAGAATGACATCACTGTATTTCAACAATTTAAGGTTGAATCATTGTTTAACACGTGGGAAAGATACAAATAGTTATTGAAGAAATGCTCACACCATGGTCTATCCAAGTGGTTGCAGGTCTAAATATTCTACAATAGGTTTCTGGCACAATCTATTATGCATTTAAAACCCTTTTACATATATATATATATATATATATATATATGGATGTTAAATTATGCTTTATGGTATTTCTTTTGAAATAAGACTTGCACGCCTTACCTAATCTCTTGAATTTTGGAGTTGTAATATTCTTTTCTTATCTAACTCCCTTTGAATGTAACTCAAGGTTTCTTTAAATTATGCCTGAAGGTCTTGGAGATTATACCTAGAGGTCTTACAAATCATGCAAATCATGCTTGGAGGTTTTAAAGATTATGCCTAGAGATCTTTATAAATAATATCTAGAGGTCTTAAAGATTATGCCTAGAGATCTTACAAATAATTTCTTATCTTTGAAAAAGCTTTTCCTTAACAGAATTTTTGGAACTTTAAAAATAATTTCTTTTGAAATAAAAAATCTCATATTGGAAAAAGTTTCACCTTCTAATCAAGGTTAAATATTTTTACAAATCTCATTTTGAAAATTTTCTTAACCCAAAAATCAACATTTTTGTTGTGGAGATTTTTCCTCAATTGAAAACTGAAATCTTATACTCGAAAAATTTCCTCAATCGAGGTTAGAATCTCATATTTCCAATTCTCAACCTTTCAAAATCCAAAACCAAAGTAAAAATTGAATATGTAATGAATGAGAAAAATGTCATGCATGTAATGTAAAAATCAATATCATGAATCTCTAATTACGGTAAATAGGCCCTCAAACCTTTTTTCATTTTCTGTCACAAAGCTTTAGAATTGGTTAACAAGCTAGTTTTTTACAACAATCCTTCACCCCCTCTGTTTGACTCAAAGCATTCGATTTTTCATATCATTTCTCTTATCCATAGATCATCTCTAGTTTTTTTCCTTAAACATTCTCCTTGTAAAAGAAATCACTTTTATTATAATAATCTAAAAATCACCTATCTCTTATCCACACCAATTCTTATCAATTCAAATTCATGACAACCAAAGAAATTGTCTTATATAACACTATTTCATGATCTAAAACTGCATATTCTTTTGAAAACATGTGATTGAATCTCTTAAAAATTGATGATTTTATATAGAATGATGAAAGTACATCGTAATTTGGTCTTTCTAAAAGGATGAAATGGTTTGTCACATCAAGATTGTAATTATCAAATGAAATTTTACCATTGAATGGGAAAAAGTAAATCAATATTTCTTCATTTAGGCTCACAAATGAAAAGTTATCTTTTAAAGCACAATCTTTTTTTGGATTCTTAATTTCTTGATATGGCATTTTAACAAATGTCAAGAATGGTTGTGATAGGCTTAAAATTTTTAGGAAAGAAAGGCTTAAATTTGAAAACAAATATTTAGATAGGGGTTAATCTTATTGGATTTCTCAAAGGTCTTCAATGATCATTGGTTCATTCAAAATACATTCTTCTAATGAAATTGCTTGAGTTGCTTTCAAATTTTTAAACTTGTTCTAGACTATCTTTTCGGGTTTTCACCCTAAAGCTTTATTCAATCTTCTTTTCTCTTTTTCTTTTTTTTTACTATTCCATCATGTATTTGAAAACTCAAAATTCAACCAAAATGGTGATTTCCCAAATAACAATTCTTCAATTTAGATATCCACACTTGATTAAAGTAGACTTTTCAAATAATGTAATGCAAGCCAGGGTGCAGGGTTCTAAAAGAAAGGATAAATAGGTCTAAAAATGTGTTTAAGGGTAATCAAACCAATGATCATTTATTTTCTCAAAGACATTTTCCTTTTCACTCTTTTCTATATCTCTTTTTCCATTTTTCATTTCTTTTTAATTTTTTCTTGTATGATTTGGTTTTTGACAAATTGAGTTCAAATTTTGGAATTTAACTTTTGAATGTAGGCATTATCTCTTTATCTTTCATTTTGGGTCTAATGTTTCCTCAAATAAATCCTCTTTTATACTTGTCTCCTAGTGTGAAAAGTGATCCTTGGTTAGGGTTCTTTTAAAAAAATTTTATAGGCTTAAAGAGGGTGGCAAATGGATATTTTCCTTTTGTGAATTGAATATGAATGATGGCCATTTATCATATCAAATATGGATACGTTTATTGAAAATCAATTTTCAGGAAAAAGATTTTTTTATTATTTTTGGAATCATTTGAATGTTTCATATGCATGATGTTACGATTTTTTTTTTGTAACTCATGTATCATTTTAATTTGTCATACCCAATGTAGGCCTAATTCTTGTTGCAAGAATCAAAAGGATATTAGGGACATCATATAATTTGGTATTTAGGTAAATATGCCTTAAGATGTGAACAGAGGGTAATGGATGAAAAAAAGGTCATGATGATAGATAAAAATATGGCTTTATCAATATTTGGAAAGGAAACTTGGGTAGTAATGTGTTTTGAATAGCCTTGACATTCATCAAATTGTCATAATCCAGAATTTTTAAAAAGTGCTTCATGTATTTGCAAATTTCGTTCCTCATAGCTTTAATGAAGATTATTGAGATCTTTTTGGGTTAAGTGAAAATCAAGGTTGCGAGGTTTTAAAAGTCAGGCTTCAGAATGATGTGATTCTCAATTGAATTGGAGTATGAACTGGTTACAAATGGACATGTTCATTTTTTACAATAATCACCAATTCCTTTAAGATTATTTTCACATGTAATGCAAGAAACCATATGTAAACAAAATTGAAAGCAAAACTTAGGCAAAAAGTCATGTATATGTCAAAGCAAAACTTAGACAAAAAGCTTAAAATTTTGAAAACTTTGCATAAATTATTTGATATTTCTTATCCAAAAAAAAAAAAACTATTGTAAAGCAGATTTCTATTGCTCTATAAGTTCTATAGTCAAAGTGCCATTATTGATGAGTTCTTTAATTTTTTCTTTTAATTGCTTGCATCTTTCAATTGAGTGTCCAATTGCCCCCATATGATAATCACATCTACCATTTGGATCATAACTCTTTGCTGATAGATTTGGAGTTGTTTTCAAGGGCACAAAGGTAAGGAACTTGTGTTTTATTAGTAAAGGCAAAAGGTTAGGAATTGGGATTGGAATTTTCTCTCGATTTTTCCTTGATCTTTTTCATTTGCTCACTGATTTGGTAAAAAATTAAGTGATAGTTATATAAGGATAGGGATTTGAATAAAAACCTAATTGTTGCATAGGTTGACAAAGATAAGGATTATGGAAGAGGTTATTTATAGAAGGGCAATAAGGTGAGTACATTGGATAAGGCTAACATAGGGCGAAACTTTCAGCCTGTTATGCCTCATAAATCATAACTTGAGTATCTCCTTCCTTCTTTTTTGGTGCATCATTTTTTTGAATCATTTGTACTACTTCCTTTAAGTTTGCCATTCTTTATTACATTTTCTATTATCTACCTAAAAATCACTATATCAACAAAATTCTTAGTAGCATTTTCAATTATCCTTTCATAATATGAGGCATTAAAAGTATTGATAAATAGAATCGTGGTCTCTTTGTCAGTGAGCGGTGGTTGAACTTAGGCAGCTACATCTCTCCATCTCTAGGCATATTCCTTAAAGCTTTCAGTACCTTTTTTTCATGTTTTGTAAAGACAAATAATTTGGAGCCAAATCTATGATGTACTTATATTGTGTGATGAATGCCCTAGGTAGTTCCCTCCAATTACGGATGCAGGACCTATCTAATTGGACATATTACCTTGAAGCAAATCCAATGAGGCCATTTTAAAAAATATAAATGAGCAACTTTTCATCAAGTATATATGAGTCCATTTTATGGTAGTACAAAGTGACATGCATTGTGGGGCATTTGGTTTCATCATACTTTTTG